TAACCTTCGGAAATCATTCACACGGCCACTCTGCAGCAACTCAATTTCCCGTATTTACAGCGCTGTATCTCTTTTAGAACGCCAGTGTCGCTCTACGCGAACTTCCCAGTTGTATATAATATACGGACTGAATCAGTAGCGTGGAATGGAAACGTTCTAACAAAAAATTGGTTCACATTAAATGATCTTTTTGTAATATATACTCGTTTTAGTTGTTATGAAACTTATTTTTTGCTTTCTCTGCATGTGTGTGTGTGTGTGAGAGAGATGATGAAGTCCTAAGGAGAAAATTGTTACCTGAGAGAAAAAATAACAGAAGGGCAGAGAAAATTGCTTAATGAGGAAAGTCTTATGAGTATAGACATAGTACAATTTTCTTTTTCTGTATATTTACGTTTTACAATTTTTGCAATGCAAGTTTTTTACGGGTATAGATCTGGAGGAGAATATTGGGTAAAATTATTTCTCATAATGTGGTCATCTTACCAGAGATATTTTTAAGTTGATAGTGGCACAGAGAAATGTGCACTGCGTGGAGTGTGTTATTGTTGTTTTGTTACCCTGGAACGTATTTTCTGTCGCTTCTTGCTGTGATTTATGTGAACTTTTCAACAATCCTTTCAAGCCTAATCTTTCTGATATCTTACATATTTTAACAAATTGTTTTCCTTTACTATGTGTTATACATACCAACCTTTCTTCTCTTAAAGCAGTCTCACAATTGATGGACTAGGGTCAAGTAATTGAAGTTGTATGTAAGAACACAGTGTGAATGGCCCATTTCCTCTTCAAAACAAATTTCTTAAAATTAAATATGATGTATTTTAACACTTCTAGTAATGAGTATGATTCCTTTCAGAACATGGACAGCTATTCCAAGTTAGTTACATTTATTGGAACTATGAAACTGGATTACTAGTGTTCTTGTATGCCACTTTTCTTATACAAGTTACAAACCATTGTGTGTGATGAACGAGTTTTAAACTCACAAAAGATTGAGCATTGTCTTCCAACAAGAGTGCCAAAAATTATATTGCAGACAGCTGAAGAAATAATTCTGTGTCCGAATGAGACCTTGGTGAGTGTACGTACTATATCCTCTTTTTTTTTTGCATTTGTGCTTAATACATAAAATGAATTTTAATTCATAATTTTACAGCAGAATGTTGATAGAATCAAAGTACAAAATGATGTGGATGTTGTGAGTAAAGAAGATTCCATTGGTATAGAAACTGCTGAAGTTTATACACCATCAGCATTTTCCATGAAAATGTCTGACCCTGAGGTAAGCCTTGTTTTCAGCTGATTTTTGTGTTTCTTGTTCATGGGTGTGTACATATGTGTGTACAGTGGAAGAATTACATATAAATGACGGAGGCAGTATGACCTCTGAAATGTTGGTGGACATCTACCAGACTACACAGTACAACAACCCTGAAGACTGTAATCTTCAGACTCACTACTGTGAAAACCTAAAATCTTACAATGATGTTTTAATTCATAATTTTACAGCAGAATGTTGATGAAATCAAAGTAGAAAATGATTTGGATGTTATGAGTGAAGAAGATCCCATTGGTGTGAATACTGATGAGGTTTACATACCATCACCATTTTCCATAGAAAAGGCTGAACCTCAGGTAAGCCTTGTTTTATTTTGCTGATTTTTGGTGTTTCTTATTTGTTTGTGTGTGCGAAGGTGTGTGTGAGTGAGTGTGCATGTATGTACACGTGTATGTTGTGTGTGCTTGTTTCTTTATAGTATAAGTAATTTATAATATGACATGAAATTCTGAGAGTGTTTACAATACTGTCCGTAACATGAAACAGTTACAAAGGAATATTTATGCAGCTTAATAATTTTTATCTTTTGTGTTCCTACAATGACAGTGTTCTGCCACAACAGGATCAGATCTCATGATCTAAACTGAATATTGTGTATGAATTAATTATCTTTCTTTGCTAGGTGATAAAAATAATATTGTAACATGATTCGGAATTGCTTAGATACTCTTCTGGGAGGCAGTGAAAGAATTACGATTCCAACAGATGTAGATAAAGACCAAACATTAAAACATATTGCAGGTTTAGAACAGGCTATTTGCGGCATTTATAATAGCATTAAATATGTTGTTCGGAATTGTGTCTTATATTCGTGTCAAGAATCAGTGTAATAGTTATGTGTATAAAGATATTTAAGCTTAATAATTTCAGGGCACAAGTTTCCCAAGAGATGTATTTTAAAGCCATTTTCCTATTTTTTTATGTGAATTTCCAGTTATATTTTACAAGACCAACTCACTGCTTTCTTTGCTTTAACAATACTCTATAAGACCACAAATTAGGAAACACATCATAGAATATCCTCATGTGCTATTGCCTGTTTCTGTAAACACAGGAATTATGCTATGCACTTTGTCTGCACACTTGCAGTCTTTGTTCTTTCTTCAGAGGCAGACACGGATTCATATTGATGTTAATCGAAGACAGATTTTTTTTCACATTTTAGGTTTTTTAAAAGTGCTAGGGGAAGAAGTAAATGCATGGGAAACTATGTACATATTCATGTCCCATCACTATAAATCATAATATAAAGATAGGTAATAAATAGAAAACAAGATAATTTTAAATATTTGGGAATGATAGTAAGAAGTAAAGATTACATTCACCGAGAATTTAGGAAGTAACAAATTCCATGGAGCGGAGTCCTTTAAAAGAAAACTGTATGCTTGGGTAGTCAAATACCCCGCGTTTTTGTGGCAGGCCTATATGTATGATGGGACTGTTGTCATTTGCATTGGAAGTTTTAGTTAGAGAAACTGAAGGGAAGAGAGTAGTTGATAGATGGTAGGATAATATTAAAATGGTTCTTAAAGACATGGTATATGAGAGTGTTGGTTGCTTTTACAGAACTGCATGGATTTAATGAAAGTTGAACCTTGTTCGGATAGTGAGATCTGTTATATTGGAAATCAGGTCATTGATATAAAAGCTGAGGATCTCACAGATGTACAAGAGGATGAAGATCCTATGCTAATACCTATTCCAGTAATAAAGGCTGAACAGGAGGAGGTATGTCTCTGTATACACTATTAGACACTAATTGCCTGTTGTCATTTCTCATCTCTGTCTGACCATCCACTTGAAACAATTCCCTTCATACGAGACATTGTCCAATTTGTTTGCATCACCAGTCTACCATTATGAAGATATTTTTAAAACATTTCTGAAAGATTGAGCTATTTATTGTAGTTACTATTTAGAAGAAATGTTAGTACTAATTCTAAATGTTAGGCCAGAACCACCAAGACAACTCATTTCTCAGTACTTCAGATTCCTACAAGTAGATTGAATTACTTTTTGCATTCCTGTTACCCATAAGCTATTCAATTTGTGGGAGTTTTTATTACAACAAATCTTACTGGGTAAAAAGAACTGGAGTTTGGGTGTTATGGTATGGGATCAGAATCTGGGGAAACTTGACTTATGTGACATATACTGTTTCATCCAGTAGAAGAATAATGCCCTTGGACCTCATAAATACCATCCTCTCATTCAGGAGTCCATTTGATGTGTATCAAACTCCAGACCTGACTAGACAATTAACATTCTGTGCATTATGGATGCTCCCCCACTGTGCTAATACCCAGGAACTAAACAGTGAGTAAAAAATCTGTTTATCCAGAATTCAACTTTAGATCTGATACTGAATAAGAAGTACATTAATTAAAAAAATTAGGATTGAAAGCCTGGGTAGGATATCAAATTGGGGATCCAGGTTCAAGTTCAAGGACTATAGAATATCTTCTCACACAACATTGAATTAAAAGCTGTAAACTAACATGGGGGGCCTATGATTTTTGCCCCACTGAGAACACCCCTTCCACAAAATTCTGATCATATAATGGGATTTGGTAAAAGGAAATAATTCTTATAATTAATAGTGATTGACATCATTTTTGCCTTACTTTCTAACATCATCTACTTCTTCTACCTGTTGTGTTAAACCTATATATTTTTCTTTCTTCTTTAACAGAGTCCTCTGATTGAACAGCAAATAATGCATGATGAGGGGCATCTACATTCCTCTGAAGTGTGCAGTAATTCATTTAGTCTGACTACTCATCCGAAGAAACATCAGGATTTGCTTAGTGGGGAGCTTCCGTATGCCTGTGATGTGTGCAGTAAATCATTCAGTACAAGCAAACATTTGAAGAGACATCAATACATACATAGCGGGGAGCATAAATATGCCTGTGACGTGTGTAATAAGTCATTCACTAAGATGAGTAATCTGAAGAGACATCAACAGATACACAGTGGGGAACGTCCCTTTGCCTGTGACGTGTGTCGTAAATCATTCAGTGACAGGAATAATTTGAAAACACATCAGCGCATACATAGCGGAGAACGTCCATATTCCTGTGACATGTGTAATAAATCATTCAGTCTAAGTAGTTACCTGAAGAAACATCAACACATACACAGTGGAGAGCGTCCATATGCGTGTGATGTGTGTAATAAATCATTCAATGAGAGAAGTAATCTTAAAGCACATCAACGTGTACATAGTGGGGAGCGGCCATTTGCCTGTGATGTGTGTAATAAATCATTCACTCGGAGGAGAGATGTGAAGGTACATGAACGCGTACATAGTGGGGAACGTCCATATACGTGTGATATGTGTAATAAACCATTCAGTACGAAGGTTGTTCTGATGACACATCAACGCATACATAGTGGGGAGCGTCCATATGCATGTGATGTGTGTAATAAATCATTCAGAGACAGGGGAAATCTGAAGACACATCAGCGCATACATAGTGGAGAGCGTCCGTATTCCTGTGATGTGTGTAATAAATCATTCGGTATGAGTAGTCATCTGAAAAAACATCAACGCATGCACAGTGGAGAGCGTCCGTATGCCTGTACTGTATGTAATAAATCATTCAGTACAAAAGATATTCTGATGACACATCAGCGCATACATAGTGGGGAGCGCCCATTTGCCTGTGATATGTGTAGTAAGTCATTCAATGAGAAGAGTAAACTAAAGACACATCATCGCATACATAGTGGAGTGAGAGCGTCCATTTACATGTGAAGTGTGTAATAAGTCATTCATTCGGAAGAGGAGTCTGCAAGAACATCAAGTCATACCCAGTGGAGAGCGTCCATATACCTGTGACGTGTGTTATAAATCTTTCAGTCGGAGGAGTCTTCTGAAGACACATGAACACATTCATAGTGGGGAACGTCCGTATGCCTGTGATGTGTGTAATAAATCATTCAGTGACAAGAGTTATCTGAAGACACATCAGCGCATACATAGTGGAGAGCGGCCATATTCCTGTGATATGTGCAATAAATCGTTCATTCTGAGTAGTCATCTGAAGAAACATCATCGCATACATAGTGGTGAGCTTCCATATGCGTGTGATGTGTGCAATAAATTGTTCAGTGAGAAGGGTAATCTGACTAAACATCAACGCATACATAGTGGGGAACGGCCATATGCCTGTAGTGTGTGCAGTAAATCATTCAATCTGAATAGTCATCTGAAGACGCATCTGCGTATACATTGTGAGGATCGTACTTATTCCTGTGATGCGTAATAAATTATTCAGTTGAAGAAGTTATCTGAAGGTACATCAGTACATACATAGTGATGTGCAGCCATGTTATGTGTTCAGTAAGTCATTTAATTGGTTTGTTTTTGTAGCCACAGATGGTAGGATAATATTAAAATGGTTCTTAAGGACATAGCATATAAGAGTGTTAGCTGGATTGATATCACCGACGATAAGGACTGGTGGCAGGTTCTGTGAACACACTAAATGAATCTTGGTTTTCTTAAAATGAAATTTTTTAATCAGCTGACTTACTGTTAACTTTTTGGTATCATTAATAAAATGAAACATAGGTGAACTTTTAAAGCAAACTTACATTTTGCTAGTTATTTTCCTTAATAATAATTCTGATAATTGGAAAGAAGAATGTATGGAAGAAGAGTTGCTATTTCATGCAGTGCAATACAGTTCTAATGGAGGTGTATTCCATTTCATGTAATGAAACAGAGTAGCAGAAATTGATAAGGGTATGGTGCTTTTACAGAAATGTATGGATGTAATGAAAGTTGAACCTTGTTCAGATAGTGAGACCTGTCATGATGGAAATCAGGTTGGGTCTAAAAACAAAGAACTGAAAATATGTCACGCATGATAGCATCCAATCAGCCAGTGACAAGAGACGGGCCAAGAGAATTGTTTCCAGTGAAAATTTGTCCCGCGCCGTAGCCGCGCGGTCTGAGGCATCATGCTTCGGACCGGCGATACGGAATGGGCGCTGGTTCGAGTCTCGGGGGAGAGGAAATTTTCTCATGAGCTTTCGACTGGTGTATGGGACTGATGCCAACCCAGCATCCTGAGGAAATTGGGGAGTTACAATGGGTAGCGTAATCCGGTCATGAAAACTAGCAATGGCTGGGGGTTCGTCGTGCTGACCACACGTCATCCTATATCTGGTTGGATGATCGTTCACCTCTGCTTAGGCATATGAATGTGAGGCCAGCAGTCAAGCTAGTCGACTTTGGCTCTCTGGAGCTATTACGCCACAGATTTTTTTTTGTATATAAATTACTTATTTTTGATTGGGTGACATGACATCAATTAACAGTATGTGTAAGTCAGACTAATTTTCAGGTATAAGAAGTTGATGGCACAAAGTTTACAATAAAATGGGACATCATTACCACAATTTGAGTTTAAAAATTGGATTACAGTATCACAAATTTCCACATTTTCAGGTCAGTGAATGTTCAAATCCTGAGATCCATGGAGTTCTTGGTTTAATAGCAATATTCATGGCAGGTGGGATACCTAATGGAAGCACCATTACCATGGAACCAACTAGCATGGGCATCAGCAGTTTTCCCAGCTCTGTTGCTTGTTATGATACCACACTATGCTCATGTCCATGTCCTGACCGAGACCCAACCCAGCAGCCTTGAGTGCTCCTGACAAAAATATGCCCTTGCCCCATAATGCCTTAATATTACGGTGTGGAAGTTGTTTCTTTCTGTTTGTTAAAGTTTGAAGGAAATTGTGCACGATGGACAAAACTTTGTTTATTATATTTCGTAGGCCCACACCTTTTAAGAAATAGTTTCAGGGATATGTGCACCGAAGTCGTATCGTACAATCATCTATAATGTCTGCGTCTATCTGCAGCACAATAAATGCGTGACGTCATACGAAGCACGTATTGCCAACGTATGCATTGACATTTCCAGTTCTCACTGCGGCGAGTATGAAAATGATGACTGTCTTGTGGGATCTTGCGATGTGTGTACTAGTAGAAATTTATAGGCGCTGCAGAGTGATGCCTCTGCACTTTGAAAGGTCCTACAAGACACTAAGTTGTTGGTCTGTATGTTGGTATTGTTTGTGGTTATAACATTTTAACCTTGCAGTTGGTCATCTGTCGTTCTGTGCTTGGAAGTTTGAACCTGTGGATTCTGCTATTAGGGTTAAGTTCGAATTTTCCTGGGTTTCGTAATTTAGATAAAGTGCGGTCTGTATCCGTTCCTTATAGCAGGCATACGGTTCTTTTACGAATATCACGTTTCAGGCAGGTGTTTATTTCACACATCTCTTGTAAGTTATTGTGCACTTCTAATTTGTGGTAGTTGTTGGTAAGCGTAGCATAGTTGGTGGGATTCATGTGTTAATCTCTACCTTCACCGAATATTGATTTACTTTTAGTTTATTCATTTTCAGTTCCCCAAGTAGATGATATGTCGGACGACGAAGATATCTTGTATATTAAAAAGCAAAAAACTGTTCATTATGGTTCCTTGGAGGAACAAGAACGCGCACGTTTGTCGGCAGTGGCTGTTAAATCTGGAGACAGTGATGAAGAAGGAAGTTCATCCAATGTGGGGCAACAGATATCAGAATTCGGGAATGTCAACATTTCTGATGGTAAATACCAGCTTTTTATATGTAGCTGCTGTTATTTAGCTGATTGCCCAATTATGTGCTACTTCTTCATGAATGATTTATAGGACACATTTTGAGTTCCTTGCTGTGGAGCAAAGTAGGACTCTGAGAGTGTATGTTAGGGCAAAGAACGCCATCACTTATTGTGAAAATATAAGTTCAACTCGGTTGAATGAAATCATTATCTTGGAGGGGGGCCTTCTTGGCCTGTGGCCCCCTGATGTGTGCTGTTTGGCCCTGCATACATTTTTGTAATACTGCATCATCCTTCATGATAATACAGTCGTTACTGCATCTGCTGAATGTTTAGTTTTGAATAGTAAAAAAATACATTTTTTAAAGAATGTAATTGGGAACAGTATGGACCTGTTTGCCTCACGCTTTTAACAAATTGCCTTAATTTATAATTTGGTGGCTTGCACGTTTTTGGCCTCAGGTCTTGATTGGTTTAGTGGTCTAGAGGTTTGTTATAATGCATGGTGATTACCTCAAGTATGCTGAGGCAGCAACAATATTTTTATTTCAGAACATATTAAAGTACTGCCTCATCATATTTCTCCCTGAGTAGGTCATGGAAATTCCTTAATCAGATCCTGAATAAATGGAAGAAAAATATCTCCAATAAAGTACTTTCTGTTAATCCTTCCTTCCTTCTTTTTGGCCACTTAAAAGGTCCACTTTTTCTCTTTCTCTCTCATGACCTAGCCTTCTCCCTTGTGGCCTGAAGGGTGCTCTTACAGGCATCTCTCTTCCCCATCTTGTGACTATGATTGGTTAATTTACCTGGCCTGATCCTTCCCAAGTCTGTACAAACTCTCTAATTTCTAACTCTTTACAACAGCCCCGAAGATGGAGACAGTTTGTTTCTTCAAAACGACATACAGGGAAAAGTCCTATGCAACAAACCAAAGACCACCGTCTGACCAGTTAGTGAGCTTTAGTTCAGATTTGTTTAGTACAGAATTAACTTGCCATTTGTTCATTGTGCTATTTGTTAATTGTTTGGCCTTTTAATGTTTAATTTTCTGAAGAATATATGGAGCTGGAGGAAGAAATGAATCGTGACCGCCAGGCTTTACTAGAAGAGTTTGAGAGACGTAAAAGGGCACGCCAGATTAATGTTTCAACCGATGATGAGGAAGTCAAACGCAACCTGCGACAGTTAGGAGAGCCAGTTTGTCTCTTTGGTGAAGGTCCAGCTGATAGGCGGAGTCGACTCCGAGATTTATTAGCCAGGTATGAAGCAGGTCTGCCTCATATTATTGTAACCCTTGAAAGCCCAGTGGTAAATTTGTGTTCCGTCTGCCTTGATACGTAGTAACTCTGCATGTTGCCCACAATGTATTTATATATGTATTTCATATGATTCTTAGAACAAACTGATTATTTCTATGAACAGTGTTTAGCATGTGGTCTTCGTAATGGAAACGTTTCTTTGAGATATTGATCACATTTTTAAATATTTAAATAACTTAAGCTTCATAGTGTTAATAATAAATGCATAGTAACTTCTCATTTCCTGTAAATGGAAAAAGATGTCTGGATCTGGGTATTTAATTTGTATTAATTGTTAACATTGTCATTAGAAAATGAAGGAAATCATCAGCGACACTTACTTTTGCATTTATATGGAACAGGAAGCCAGATGAATCAGATAAACCAAAGTATGAGAAATGGCTATGCATTCTGTGTTCTCATTGGTTGTCTCAGTCACAATACAAATATAAATCATTTAGATTTTCCCATCCATTTACATAAGGCAGCTGTATTTTTAAAGAAAGGTTAAAGTCAGTTGTTAATAGGTTGGGAGAAGATGCTATTAAAAAGAAACAAGAGGAGGAGGAAGAAAGGATGCAACAAGAAAAAGATCAAGAGACCACGTGGTACCATGAGGGGCCTGAAGCCCTTCGAGTATCACGATTATGGATTGCAAGTGAGGAACTAAAATTGTAGATTGTATATTTCAGCAATTTGTAATAATTTTGTAACATACCTAGACATAAATTGTTCAGAAAAAATTATTAATTTTTCATAAACTAGTAGCACATTCTTAAAAATACAGGGTGATTCAAAAGGTTTGGGCCAAACTGAAGGAGCATATAGAGGGACTCAGAGAGAACAACTTTCGAATAGGAATCCTTGCCCTCCGAAGTTATCCTGAGTCAGTCAAGGCCATTGAAGGTAGAGAAGTCTGATAACATACC